CCATAACTTTCACTTGACTAGTATCATCCTGACAGATTCAGACTTGAAATTAATGAAATGAAGTTGTGGTATTTACCTACTAGATATACCACAAACTTGTACAGCTTATCCATGCAGGAGTGAATAAGTTTTTGGATGGCATGATAAATCTAAATTGTTGCAAAATAACTTCGCTGGTGCTGTAATTTCACTTTTATGCAATCAAAAGCAAGACTTTATAGGTTGAAACCCTCCTTTAAATCAAGGTAAAACAGAATGGCAGACAGGAGGATGTGATGTCCTACAAGTTCTGCCTAGAAACAAAGCCATGAAACCAGGTTGCCATGGGGACAGTAGTCCAGGTGAAAACTTAGTGAATAAGATGCAAACTTTAACACCTGGACACAAAGGAAAATGTAGCTAGCCTCATCTTGGGAGGAGTTGAATTTTAAACTCAAGTTTAAGAACAGTGACATAATTTATAAATACAGCATGAGACTTTCAAGTATATAAGGGGTTAATGGGAGATGGAAGCCTTTTCTGTAGTTTGTGTATTTGTTGTCATTAATGTTTAGTTGATACTTAGTTTAGTCTTTTTGTTACCGTACAAGTCTTAAAACATAAAATCATGCTTCAGCCTTTGCACATGTCGGTAGGAAATTCATACCTTTTTTTGAAAAGGTTGTTTTTACAAGGACTGTAACACAGTGGTATCTCATTCCTTTGGGTTTGGATTTTCAAAAATAATACAATTAAAGACAGGTTTTTTTTTAAAAAAACATTTTCCTGCCTTTTTTAAAAATTACTCTCAATCAACAATTTTTTTTGTGATTTTACATTTGAATATTTAACTCAACTTGTAATTCCTGGTTTAAACTCTCCACATTCAATGACTTTTTTTAAAATTCTGGTTGTAGAGACATGCTATTGCTTTCCCTATTCAGGCATGTCCCAGACCTTCTCCAGAGGACTCATACTACATTGGAGACCCACTACTTAGAATCTAGAATTAGAAGCTAATATTTAAAAATTGGGGTTGCCCATTCAAAACAGAGAGGAGGCAAGTTTTGTTTCTCAAAATCATACGTTTTTGGAACTTTCTTCCTGAAAAGATAATGGAAGAACACAAAATATTTTTCGGGTAAAGGCGAATATATTGTAAGCAAAAAAGGTGCAAGGTTGTCAGGGTTAGGCAGAAATGTGGAATTGTTACAATCAGATCAGCCACGATCTTCTGAAATGATGCAGCAAGCTTGAAAAACAAATAGTGTGTTCATACTCCTCGTTCATAAATGCTGCAATTGTGAGAAAAACTCTCAAAGCAAAAAAAAAAGTCTATGATAGCTGTAAACATAATGAATGGCAAGTGTCACTCACCCATTGCTGACAGCAAAATCAGGACATAGTGGGATTGAGGTCAAACGTATGCAAGTTTCAAATGTGAATTCAATACATACCAACAAATATTTAATTCCTCGCTGGTCACAGGGGAAGTGCCAGAGGACCAGAGGACAGCTAATATGGTTCCACTTCAAGAGGGGTGGTTGAGATGAACCAGGAAGTTACCGACTGGTGAGTCCCATGTCAGTGAGACGGAAGCTATTGGAGAAAATTCTGAAGGAGCGAATCAATCCCCACTTGGACAGGCATGGGTTATTTAGGGATAGTCAGCATGGCTTTGTCAGAGGGATTTCCAGGTGTCAGTGGGAACACCGTATTTCACCCATGAGGCCTGGAGAGTTTCCCTTAGGAGTTTCCTTTGTCCATTTAGGGCTTGTCTGCCATTTTGGAGCTGGGGGTAGAGCACCTGCCTGGGGAGTCTCGTGTCATACCCAGCCGATCAAGGGTGTTCAGTACCTTGATGCTGGGGATATTGGCCTGGTCAAGGACGCTGGTTTTGGTTCGTCTATCCTCCCTGCAGATTTTGCAGGATCTTTCACAGACAGCATTAGTGGTACTGTTCCAGCACATTGTCTGCTGTAGACATCCCAGTCTACGGCTCAGTAAAAAGGACAGAAAGGGTAGTGGTAGAAGACGGGGGTTGGGGAAACACTTAAGCAAATTTTCAGATGACACCAACACTGATAGAGTGGTTAATAGTGAAGATGATGATTGTTGGTTACAGGAAGCTATAGTTGGGTTGGTCAGGTGGGCAGACGGTATTTAACCCTGATAAGCACGAGGTTTTGCACTTTGGAAAAAGAAACACAACGAGGGAGTATTTAAATGAATGGCAGGTAAATTTAAATTTACCTAGATCCATTCTTCATTCGTTAAATAGTTATCTAACTTTTATAAATTAGTTTGAAGTAAGATGGTTAGAAGCTAACCAGTTTTTGAATACATAGAAATTACTCCAATTAAAGAAAACAATTTAAATAAAGAACGCAAATGTACTTATGTAGACTTAAATATACATTGCCACAGGAGTGTGAAGAGCATATTCAAGATCTCTGAAAACTATATTTTTAAAGTTCGAGGTGATGCACTTTGGAGGAATAGAAACAACGAGGGAGGATTTAAATGAATGGCAGGACACTGGGTAGCTTAGAGGAACAGAGGGATCTTGGGGTATTTTTGTTGTGGAACTATTTACATTTCCCGAGCTAGTCAGTGTTACCAAAGGAAGAACATGTATTTACGCAGTGCCTGTCAATTTGTTGGGCAGTATCAAAACAGCTCTCAGTCAATTATATATATATATTTGAAATAACAAAAAGCACTACCAAGATCCACAGAAGTACTGAGATACGTAGTTGGACAATATTTGGTGATATCAATTCATCTGTTGCTGAAACCCTCATTCATGCCTTCATTTGGCTTGATCAACAAACTCTGGGTTTGCACTCCATAAACACAAGGTCATCCAAAACTCTGTTGTTTGTATCTTAACTAGCAGGAAGTTCTATTGCCCAATCATCCCCGTGTTCCTTGAACACTGGCTCTCAGTCAAACAGCATCTTGACATTAAAATTCACATCGTTCATGCCTCCACACCTCTGTCTCTATAAGCTCTTTCAGCTCCACAACTCAGATACTACACTCCTCTAATTTCTCTCATGAATTCTCGATTTTAAATTCTGCAACATTAGTTGCCTAGACCCCAAGATCTGCAATTTCCTGCCTAAATTTTCCAACTTGCTTTCCTCCATTTAAAAAAAAATTCCTGAAAACATCTCTTTGCCCAAGCTTCCAGTCATCCGACTTATAAGTTATCCAATATCTGTGGTATACTTTGTTGCACAGTGCCTTTGTGAAACACTTTGTGACATTACATTTCCCTACAGGCACCACATAAATACAAGTCGTTGCGTTGGTCGAGGGAAAAAAAGTTGGACAGAATGAGGGGAGGAATTCTCTGCACTTTGAATAACACAGATATCTTTCAACTACATGAGGTCATAATTTAACATCTCAGATATCACGCCCCAGTGTCGGCCAGGATCATGGGCACAAATCTTTTGAAGAGACTTGGACCTAATACTTTATGACTCACAAGCAAGAATGCTGCTATTACCAAAATCAGGTTCTCACTTTGAAAAACATTAGAATTCCATTTCAATGAAATTTCACATTTTCTAATTAGATGCATAGTGCAATGAAAACAAAATGATCAAAAAATAAAGCTCCTTATAAACGGAACTAGCATTCGACAATCCTAGGCAGAAAACAACAGTCACAACACTTATAAAATCAACATCATTCACCCCTCCCAAAGTCTAAATGCTGGCCCATTACAAATAATTAATTTAATTGAATAAGCACACCTGCACTTCAATTTCACAATAATGCCATTTGCAAGTTTAGTTGCATTTCTTCTTACTTTTGGTTTTCAAAACAGAATTAACTGAAATATCTTGGAAGAGTTAAGAAAATCTGATTGAGCAAGCACATTAGATTACCAAAATCATGCATATCTAAAAATATTTTTATTGAAATAGCCAAAAAACTTTAAAGCTTTACGAAGAATGCAAATACTATACAGACATCACACAGCTATAGTGTAACAGCAATACTTTGCATCTAAATAGCTCCACTGCAAAACTGCCAAGTAGATCACTCAACACTTTCTTTGCTTGGATAACCTTTAAAATGAATTCAAAGCTCAAGACAGGAAGTCATCTGGATGCTTTATTGCACTGATTGCACATCAAAATCCACACTATAGTGTAGCATATTTTGTTGTTGATTAATAATAGGCTTGGATTACCCAAGCTGATTTCAGAACAAAGTGTTCCTTTCAAACTTGTTCATTTTTACGTTAGCTTGCCTAATTAGTTTCAGCATGAAAACACAGCAAAATGCCCAGAGCAAATGGGTTATATTCATCAATATGGGTACTGAAGTCAAGGGAGAGAATAATTGGGTAAATAATTCAACTTTACTTTCTTTGAATCAAGTCTACATCTCAAACTATTAATACACATAGATGGATTTAAGCTCAAATCCAGGAATTGAATCCATAATTCATATTTCCATGTCAACTATTCTGTGACATCCAGAGTATGAATGATGCTATTTAAATGCAAGTTTATTTTAAATAGAAAATGACAACGCACAAGCAATTAAGACTAAAGCATACTTGCCACTTCTCCATTCAAATTAGGGATAGTAGCATAGGGTTAATAGTGCCAAAATCACATTATTTGCCAGCTTCCGAGGTGGCACACTGAGACACACTAATGCTTGGGGCTGCATGGCAAAGGTGCATTGAGAAAAGATCACCATCTAAATCCTTTCAGCATTGTGCGCCAGAACAGATAACACTATAGGTAACAATAGATAGTTGGAATGTGCCGCAATTTGACATATAACGAATATTGCAAATTTTAACGAAGTGTAGCAACATACAATGTTGGAAAAGACTGATCTGGTTTACAACGTACATAATCAATTTTGACATTACAGTTATGTATTGTTCCCTTATAAATAAAGTATATTTTTGGATGAGAAAAATATAGTCTGGTTGTCAGCTCTATTTAGTGCTCATGTACTGAGGAGAGGCTGTGTTTACTACTCACCCATGTTGTAACCATAGGGCGATTCGCTAGCTCCATCCTGAAGGCTGGCCAGGATCTCTCCCTTCCCCACATCACTATCACCCACTAGTAAGAATTTCAACAGAAAGTCATAAGCCTTCACGGGGCTGCCTTTCTGGCTCATCCTCTCACGAGCTACGCTCCATGCTCGGGCGGACCGAGGACAGTTCCTTTCGTTGAACAAGTAAAAATTCATCAAACAAGTTTCAGCTCGCCCCCCTGCTGCCACCACCATTCACTTTCCAGAAGAAAATTTCCTCAAGGAGCTCGCGCTGCCAACCTTTCACCGTCTGAAACAACAACCGTCCTCTCTTCTCCTAGCCCATTTCTTTTTCACCTTCACCTATTTTTCGAACTGACACGTTTTGTTTTACACACATATACCCATTTCCCACCTCTGATCTTTCAGATACAATCCAACCCACTTTAAAACCCCCTCTGAACACGATTCCAAACCCTCTGCCGTCACCATGTACACCAACGACCTCCCTTCTGACGCTTCGACACCCCCTTTTGCCGTCTCGTGCGGCCCTTACCCCACCCAGCCCAGCTGTCATTGGTTGACTCCCCACAAAGGCGGGGCCCTCCGCTAATTTTCCCACCGTTGATTGGAACTTTTATCCGTCCATCATTATAACCCCGCCCTTCCACCCCGACTTCTCCGTTGTTTACACATCGCACCAGCTGGGGTCCTGGTCCTCCGGGGATTGTGGGACCTGTAGTTTATCCTGGCTGGCAGCTGTCGACTTTCAACCCGGCCAGGTTTTATTCTGTTGTTTCCCTGAAATTTAAAAAAAAGAACAACTGTCCGACCTCCAGAAAATTAACCCGAGGCGCATAAAATACACGAAGTAAATTTTTTTTGGATGAGCATCAGGCGGTGCATAGACAGATTCCTGTTGAAGTCCCTGCTGCGAGTTGATGAAGATGGAGAGTTTGCTAAAGCGGGAGCTGAATACAGTTAGTCTGAAACAATTGGGATATGCAGGGGGTGGGTGTATTAGCCAAGGACAGAGTTATGAGACGGATACAGGAAGAGTTTTTGTCAAAATCAATCACAAAAATCAGGTTAATGCATTTTCTTTCCAGGTTATTTGAATATTGTTTAGATGTGTTCCATGAATGGCCTGAGACAATTCATTATTGCAGGCCAATGCAAAGAGTGGTGACACTGATGCCTCTGGCCAGAATGATAGAAGGGGTAGGGTGCGGTTGGGCTTTTCACGCAGCAAAATTAGTGGAATTGCACTCTATAAGTAAGTGTATGGACAAGTGAAAACTGATTGTTATTTTTAAATTGTGGGAGTTAAATACTGCTGCACAGGTTAAATTCGCAACAGCAGATTTAAGGTTGATATACAGGGAGTGATCACATATTACATACATTTTCATTTAGAGGCATATGCAGGGAGAAAGAATTTAACGATTCAATAGAGAAAGTTTGGGTGAATGGTTTTTCTGAATAGATGTATTAAAATGTGGTAAAATTGGGGTTGCCAGCATTTTTTGGATATATTCCTTGAGATTTCATCACATTATCTCCTATCCCCAGTGATATGATCCTTTTCTTTCATCTCCATCAGAATATTTCTATAACTAATAAATGAAAGTGTTCAAATAAATTTAAAATATGACTTCTAAAAAATGCTGCTGTGATTCTTATCCCAAGATTATAGCAGGACTGTGTGGATGCTTAATTCATTGGAGAGTACAGGGCCGTTGTGCAGGGCTGGCAACCTTTAGTTCATTTACTGATTTTATTTGCAGTTATTTTATGATTTTTGAATGTGACACAAAATAAAGGAGGGAATAATGTTCTGTAGGAGACAAGTTTAAGGCTGGCGGAATCAATGTATACAAATGTACTGAAGCCATGGTGTGGAGGTGCCAGTGTTGGACTGAGGTGAACAAAGTCCAAGGTCACATGACACCAGGTTATAGTCCACCAGGTGATTCTGATGAAGGGGCTACACTCTGAAAGCTTGTGATTTCAAATAAACCTGTTGGACTATAACTTGGTGTTTGTGACTTTTGAAAATGTGCTGAAGATATACAATACATAATTTGTATGATACATTTTTATTAAGGTATGTTCTTATACATTTAGGGAAAGCACAGTAGCATCAAGGAAGAAGTAATAAAAAAAATTACTTTCTGTGAAAAGACTTTAAAAATGTGTACCTGTTCCTACAAATCAGAGCTACTGAGGCTGGTCAAATCACATCATAAAAGAGGAAGTTAGAAGAAACAATTGCAAAATTTTATGTGGTACAGGAAAAATGTGACTACAGTAGATCATAATAATGCAAAAGCCAGAACCAACTGAGCCATGATGCACCAATATGACATCTTTCTAATAAGGTGTGAGTTTTAATGTATATATTATTCCTCAAAAAGGTTGTATGCATCAGTGAAAATGTATACTGCATATTCCATTTTTGTTCTTTTATACCGGCAACAGTTATCTTAATGAAATTTGATTTGTTTATTTCAGTGTTTACATGTTCTTTTAACTGAGACTTATCGAAGATCGAAATGCGCAATTAAATAGAATTTAGAAATTTAAGTCCTTGCTTGTCTTGATGCTTCTGTGATAGTGAGTTTGGAGGGGTGTGGGACCTTGATGGACGAGCTGGTCTTTTTCTGCGTGTTGGCTTTGTATGTTTAGAAACAGAAAGTTCATTGGTTTAAATTCCTTTTAATGTACCTACATTATATATTCTTTTGTAAATCATGCTGCACATATAGTAATGTAGCATCTTATTTTTGATGCAGAAGAAACCTAAATAATCAGTATCTGTACAGTTACAATAATGGATTTTATTTGCTTCTGTGTTGTAAATTCCTGTGGATTAAAGTTAGTTTCTGTTGCTTTTCCTCTTTTTCTAAGGTTTGTGACTATTGGCAGCTACACTTTGAGTGGGTTTAAAGGCAGGTTGTTATATTTGAGAACAGAAAGATTGTGAATCAAGGTGAAGTTACTTACAGCAATGAGGAATGATTCAAAAGTGGGCAAAAATGTTACATAAGTTAAAAATTTGATATCCTTTTCTGTTTCTTTTGTGGTTTAATGTTTTTGTTTATCCTAAAATAGTTACAAGAGCACCAAGAGAGCTCCTTGATGGCTGAGTGATTTTATCCGGTAATGAGCTGAGCCAAGCAGATCCTAGAAATATATTTGATCTTTATATTGGGGAGGGAAAAATTCACCATGGTTCCCATTCCTTATTACTACACTACAAGCCCTGCTGTCATATCCCCAAGTGAGTTTTGGTTGGATTTCCCCATTATAAGCTGTCAGCCACATTATGTCTTTGGCTCCTTTGACTCAAAATAGATCTTCATAAGATATTGAACCAGTATATTCCCATTCCAAAACTTATGCTTACAGCATCACAAATACCTTTGAGGGAATTTGTTCTGACTATCTATGGCAACTGAGAAGATCCACCAAGTACTTGAAAATATTCAGAATGTGTGGTGCCCAACTAAATATCAGTATTATTTTCTGTAACTAATTCTTGAATCCAGTTAGTTAGCACATTATTCCTAAATATCAAGACCAATCATTGAACTAATATCAGTTTTCTACGAAGACTGGATGAAACAGCCACAGAGCCCACCAGTATAATGATCTGTCCCTTTCAATCAATCAACCTGCATCTAGTTTTTTTTTCCTTTCATGGAATGTTGGTATTGCTGACAAGGCTAGCATTTGTTGCTCTTCCTTTATTGTCTTTGAACTGAGTGGCATGCAAGACCATTTCAGAGGGCAGTTCAGAGTCAATTAATTTGCTGGGGTTCTAGAGTCACATGCTGAAGCCTATCCTGGATAAGGATGGTCGATTTTCTTCCCTTGAAGGGCATTGGCGAACCAGATGGGTCGTTGCAACATTTGATGATAGTTTAATGGTCAGCATTACTAAGATTAGCTTTGAACTACTGATTTATTAATTAACTTCAAATTCACTGCTGTGGTGGGATTTGAACCCATTTCCCTAGATCACTGATCTGTCCTTCTGGATTATTAGTCTAGTGGCACAACCATTATGCCACCTTCTCCCCAGGGTAGGACAGAACTTTGAAAGTATTGCTGAAAGAAGACACATTTTATCAAAGCTCTTCATCCTACAGTCATCAGAACAATTCACAAAATATGCCAAAGTAAAAGGAAACCAACATTCATACTCTGAGAGGAGAGTGCTAATTGGTTTCCAAGTAGACTTTGATTCGTGGACGTATTGCCATGGAGAATGCACTATTAATGATCAAGTCAATAAATGTGCAGCTGGAAAAGCTACGTGTGTGTTCATGTTCTGTCTGCATAAAACAGGACCCTGTGTATTAATGCATATAGTTTCAAGTACATGCAGGTGCACCATGCTGTGAGCTGACTGACAATCATAAATTGGTTGTTAGCGTAATTCTTCACTCACTCAGGACTCTGTAGCAAATGCCATCCAATTGAGAAATCATATCTGATAGCATGGTGAGCAAATGGCTGGGGCCCTTTTTAGAAAATGCTAACAAGGCTGAAATTATAACATGTGGAACTGTAGGAATGTGTACCCTGACTGGAGAAGTTAGGTTTGCAGTAGGTAGTAATAGAGATATCCTGGCCAATTTCTCAGTTAGACCAGGAAGAAAAGGGAGCTGATATGACTACTGCATTTCAAAGGTGAATGTGATCTCAGGATACAGCCCATTAAGACACACAAGGAAATTCTTAAATGCAAGTGCAGATTCAAATGTGACAAATGTATCATCTACATATCAGAACCATGATTTCACCTGATGAAGGAGCAGCGTTCCAAAAACTTGTGATTTCAAATAAACCTGGTGTCGTGTAACTTCTGACTTTATCAGAACAATGTAAGGGGTAGAAGCTCAGGTGTCATTCAATAAAATATCTGTTTCTAGTGGGATCCAGCAAAGGTATTTGCCTAGCAGGGATGCCATTAGCAGAACTCATTTGTTTGGGCATACATGGTGCCATTAAAAATAAAGTCAACTGCGCAAGTTTTGCGTTTCTAAGTTCAATGAATATTGATTCTTGCAATGGTGGTGAGTCTAGATTGCCATGATTTAGTGCCAAAGTACCAATGTCTCTGATTTCTTAGTGAATCGGTGAGTAATTTCAAATGAGTGCATGGACCCTGCATTGTTATCAATATGCAAGACCTGCGTTGCCTTTGCAAATGTGAAGGAATCCTTTACTCTGCATGTGGGAAAACTTGCTCAAAACTGTTTTTAGTGATTCACCTAACCATTTGGCCACATTTTGTTGTGCAAAACTGATTATAGGTAAGGTAGAACGTAAAGGGACTTTACTTTTGTGTGTCTTGCGCGATGCATACATATTTGGATGCAGTGATCAGAAGGGCAAACCCTCTTATACATCTCACTCAGCAGCTCGTTGTTTTAACACAAGTACAGCAAGCATTTTTTAATCTTGCTTTAGAGGAGGTTTGTTCTGAGCAAAAGGTTTAATGGACACATACTTGAAACCGTCATTTAGAATGGTGTGCATT